TGGGCATAAGGAACAAGCAGAGTACAAAGGAAATCAAAAGGCTGTTGGACAAGGGTTCAGGGTTAGGTCACAGAATGGGGAGACTCCACTGGGGAGCTCTGATTAATGGATAGGGTCACAAGGCCACTAGCAGACAAGAGTGTTAAGGGAAAATATCAGAGAACAGACTAGGTTTGGAAGAGGCAGATAAGACAGCAGAGTGCTCTCTACCTAATTCTTCGATTGCTCTGATAGGATAGTTCCCTATTTCTCTTTTACATCTCTTTTTTCTCTTAATCATCTGGCACAAGGTCAATTTCCTTTAGAGATATTCTTCTATCTCAGGCCTCTAGCTCCATCTAAGCCATAGCTGAAGCACTCCTGTAGACAGAGTTTCAAATCTACCTCTGACTGGGACTCATCTTACATGTACCTGTAAGCCTAGGAGTACAAATGTCCAGCAGGCCATCGATAAACAAGTCATCCTTAGCCCAGCCATAGATTCTATTTTCTGTCATTTTTATATATGACAAATATATATATTTGTACTGGACAAGGACTGTTTTCGATCCTCTTTCAATCTGCTTAACCAACTAGTCTTCTGAAAGCACTTTGCTCTCATGAGTCACATTTTCTCACTTCTACCCTTAAAAACCTATAAATCCCAAATCTGATGTTCCATTAAAAAAAAAAAAAAAAAAACTGAGAAGAGTGAACTAATTCCCACTCTGGAGTTTCCTTTCAGTGGACTGTTAGTGTAGTACAACACCTCTAACTTCTTGCTCTGTGCCTTAACCTCTGTGTTCATATCATAATGATATGTGGAGCTGGACTAGGTGAAGGGCTACAGCCACTGGTACACACTTCATTGTGGAGTAATGGGGATTTGGTTCCTTTTCTTTTCTTTCTACTTAAACCAATGGGAAACAGCATCCTAGGTTACCTCTATAAAAAATAACCAACTAAAATACTCAGTGTAATCAACCTGGTAAACAATCTTACTATGCAAGATAAGAATTCACTGGTGGGATCTAAGCATGCATTTTACTAGTCCTCAAGGATCTTCTATTCCATTGAGTCTGGACTCCTAAACACAGATACTCTTAAACTTACAATGAGGGGAAGGGGTTATATCCTAATAAAACCATAGTAAATTGAAAATATTATGAAGGTGAAAATGCATTTAACACACCTACCAAACATGCTAACTTAGCAACACAGTACACTGTAGAGTACTGGTCATTTACCCTCGTGATCATGTGGCTAGTTGGGAACTGTGGCTCACTATTGCTGTCCAGCACCTTGACAGAGTACCACACATAACTGGCCCAGGAAAAGACAAAATTTTAAGTATAGTTTCTACTAAATGTGTATCACTTTGGCACCACTGTAAATTCAAAATTCATTAAGTTGAGTCTATGACTACAGCCTTTTGCTCATGTTCCTTCCTCACCTACTTGCCCTCTCTCCTCTCCTCTCATTATATCTAGAACTTAGATATTCTTCAGGGAGGAACTACTGTTCCATAATCACAAAAGGAGACTTCTCCAGTCTTTGTATATTTTAAACTTTAAGTTCCATTTTCTTTGGATGTCTAAGAGAGTCACTGCTGCACTAATGACCTTAATAATTAACAAGAATAAAACTGCAATGTTAATGTGTACTCAACAAATGTTTCACATTCACTTGTCAAATTTGAAAATGTTTTCATATAACTATGTTTTGCTGTTCCAATTACCATTTATATACTTAGAAAATGGTAATGGATTCTTTGCTTTCTTTGAGTCCTTCTCAAGAAACATTTTAAAAAGTTTGCTGAATGAAACACCAAGAAGAAACATGCCCCACAATGCCTGGCTCTACAACAGTGAATTAATGAAATGTTCATTAAAGGGAAAAAGGAATGTAATAGCTCTTTTTCTTTACAGAAAAATCATGCCTTAAAAGCCACAAGGGGGGGCTGGCGTTGTGACTCAGAGGTAGAGCACTCACCTAGCAAGTGTGAAGCCCTGGGTTTGATGATCCTCAGCACTACAAAAATAAATAAATAAATAATAAAGGTATTGTGTCCAACTAAACAAACAAACAAAAAAAGCCACAAGGGGTGGCACACACCTGTAATCCCAGCAGCTTGGGAGGCTGAGGCAGGAGGATCATGAGTTCAAAGGCAGCCTCAGCAACTTAGCAAGACCCTAGCAACTTAGTGAGACCTTGTCTCTAAATTAAATAAAATACAAAAAAAGGCTGGGGATGTGGCTCAGAGGGTAAACATCCCTGAGTTCAATCCCTGGTACCAAAAAAAAAAAAAAAAAAAAAGCCACAAGGATTTTCTTAAAAGTCCAAGATAGCATATGTCAAGTATTCATGACAGACTCATGGCAAAGTTGGACTGAGAGTTCAAAAAGGTAGAAATAGATCTAGGCTTGACTTATGAAAGGGGAGAAAACTGACCTCAAACTTTATACCATGCAGGTCTTAGATATGTAGAGCAAATCAGAATCAAAAGGACTGATACAAAAAGAAAATTGTATAAAGAAGATATAAAAGAGCCCAATTCTCATGAAATAGGGAAGAAAATTAATAATTCTGGATAAGCAAAATGGGACTACACTATAGAGGGCACTAAAAGCCACTTAAATATCACAATACAGGTTATAAAGTACTAAATATTATTGTCAGGAAAGTTATAAGTAAAATGGAGCCAGGTGTGGTGGTCCATGCCTGTAATTCCAGCAGCTCAGGAAGCTGAGGCAGGAGGATTGTGAGTTCAAAGACAGCCTCAGCAAAAGTGAAGCACTAAGCAACTCAGTGAGACCCTGTTTCAAAATAAAATACAAAATAGGGCTGGGGATGTGGCTCAGTGGTCAAGTGCCGCAGAGTTCAATCCCCAGTACCCCAAAAAAATGAAAGAAAAAGAAAAATGGAATAATTTGGATAAATTGTGGAAGAACAACTAAGACACACCAGGAAAGAGAATGGAATTGGCAAAACAGGAATATAAACAGTCCAGACACAATAACAGTAATTAAAATTCACTCGGTTTATGTCAGTAGAAGTTGAGATCCCAGGGAATTTAAAATATAGTTAATTGGTGTCCTAACCATTTGAAACACTTCCCTAATGTTCTCTGTGGAAAGGGGAAACTTTATTTTGAATCAATCTTTGACAAACTAATAGCTGAAACATAAGCCATAAATCTACATAGGCTTTAAGGTTGCCATTGAGAGGAAAAAGCCAAATCACTTGCCACATGATTTCGAGACTGCAAAGCAAGTGGGCCAGTCATGATTCTTTATTGCAATATAAAGGTGAAGGCTGAAGAATTTTAAAAATTAGTTACTATGAAAAGACAAAAAAAAGGCAGGTGAGGTACAATCACAGGAATGGGGAGTTGCTGAGGCAAAGATGCTGGAGGTGATGTGGCTTCTGAGGGAGTTAACTGTGGAGAGAGGTGGAGAAGAAGGGCAAGAAGCAAGAGATGAATAAATACTAAAATGGGTGAGGCAGGTCAGCTAGGAAATAAGTAAACTTGAGTGGAAAGTGAATTTCAAAAAGATATTAGTATTACCAAGTGAAGCAAAAAGATGCACTAGAAAATAGATATCCCCACATTATCAGAGAGACCAAAGATGGGTAAGGTGAATGAAATAAATTCTTATAATTTTATGTTGTCTCAGCTTCCATTTTGCATAAAGTTTAACTTTCTTATACCAGAAATAGTGTGGTCAACTGGATTTCCACCTTATACAACTGCTTCCTGGTGACCACTTCTCTGGGGGACAGATAGATACAGTATACCTGACTGGCTGTGCTGACCTTCACACCCTGCGTGGACTGTGCAGCTATGTCATAATAACCACCTCTCAGCAACAATGTGGTCTCTTGGAAATTGTGTCTGCTTGCTTTAAACCTAACAACCAAAACTTCCCCTGGAAAACTTATTTGAATAACATTCTGGCCCCAATGAAAGCACTGGCCCATAGGTCCCTGTCTCTCTCCCTGCCTTCATGCCTGACCAATATGTGTGTGGCCTCTGGTCATGCTGAGCACCTCCCCCCGCCACACACACCAGGACCCATAAGCAATAGAAGATTGCCATCTTATATGTCCTAATTGTTGAAGGGGTACTCTCCATCTCAAGGACCCTGAATTAAAACAGTGGCGTATATGATGGGAGAAAAGAAACTTTTTAAAAAAGGAAAATAATTGAGAGCATAATGTTACCAAAAAAAAATTTTTTTTTAAACTAACATGTACTGAAGACTTATTATCTGCCAGCCAACCATTTAAAGTGTTTTACAGGTATTAGTTCATACAATCTTTACAGGAATCTGAGCTAAGAATTAATATCATTATTTTATAAATTAAAAAATTATGCTACAAAGTAATTTTCCCAAGATTATACAATGACTGGTCCAGTAAGGTTTCAAACCCATACAAACTGACAACATTCTAAGGACTAACTACACAGAAAAAGATCTGCAATAATGTTGAGAAGGGAAGAAAAATGAGGGTTTCAGGAATTAAAAGAAAAGAAGCAAGCAAGGATCTGTAAGAACAGGCAGTGTGAGGAACCACAGGAAGGAGAGGGCACCTCCACATGGCGGCAGAGCAAGAGCAGAGACACATGGGCACCCTTTGGAAAGCTGATGATTACAGGAGTACCCACTCACTTCCAACAGTGTGTGACTTTTAAGAGGTGCTTTCTAAAAAGCATTCAAAGGTGCCTGTCCTTCACTGACCAAATGGGATCTCAGTTCCCATCTGATTTTCTCTCACTCACCTGGACGGCTCCAATGTAGGTTCTTTCCTTCTACAAACCATGGCTTTTGTCCTCGCTTCACCATGAGGATCACTTTTGTTTGGTACTTATACACACTCTTCATGGGAAAACAACACACAAGAGGGGACAAAGTACTGGGGACAAACAGCTATCTCAGAACTTAGAACTGCCTAGAGTCTTAGGCATTTAAAGGATGACAAGTAGGTTTTAGAACAAACTGAACTCGGAAGTTCAGGGCCAATTTTATTAATGCTTCAGAATGTTCCCAGCTCTCACATGTCTTAAAGGGAGTGCACTGTATTGGTACATTCCAAGTTACACAGTTACCACCCTCTGTCCTTACCCACTGACATGAGGTTTTTATAGTTCTCCAACATCACATCCCAATACAGGGAGGGATCTCTGATCACAATCAAGCAGCTGCCTTTCCTCTGAAGTGAAGTCCACAGCCACATCCTGGAATGTCACTGATTCCTGTAATAGCACATTCTTCTTCAAACTAGTGTGTGCATTATTAGGGACTTGCAAGAGAATCATGATAATCTCTTAATATCACCTTGACTGTTGAGTGTGTAGAAAATTATGTACAGTAACTACTATACACTTGATTCAGAAATAAACTTTGCAATAGCAACAAAAATCGTATTAAAAAGTCCAACTAGTGCCAGAAAAATTCAACAAGGGAAAGAAAATGGTGCTGAGACAATTAGATTCCCCCACACAGAAGAATAAAGTTGATCTCCCACCCACCTCATAAAACAAACAAAATATGAACTAAAATGGACTAGGGACCTACATGTCAGGACTAAAACTGTTAAACTCTTAGGAAAAAGACACAGGAGAAAATCTTTGGCAGTGGCTTCTTCTTTTTTTTTTTTTTTTTTTTTTTTAAGTTGTAGATGGACACAATACCTTTATTTTATTTAATTTTACGTGGTACTGATGATAAAACCCAGTGTCTCAGATGTGCTAGGCAAGTACTCTACCACTGAGTTACAACCCAGCCCCCAGGCAATGGCTTCTTAAATATGACAGAAAAGTATAAGGGACAAACGATAAAATCAATTTGAATTCATCAAAACTAAAAAACTGGGGATATAGCTCAGTTGGTAGAGTGCTTGTCTTGCATGCACAAGGCCCTGGGTTCCATTCCCAGCACCACACACACACACAAACAACCTTAAAAACTTTGTGCTTCATAGAACACAATAAAATAAGTAAACCTGGGTGTGGTGATGCATGCCTGTAATCCCAGCTACTCAGGAGGCTAAGGCAGAAGGATAGAAGGATCACAAGTTCAAGGTTAGCCTCAGCAATTTATTGAGGTCCTAAGCAACTTAGTGAGAGCCTGTCTCAAAGTAAAAAATAAAAAGGTCTGGAATGTACCTTACTGGTAAAGCACCCTTTGGGTTCAATCCCCAGTACCAAAAAGGAAAAGAAAAGAAAAACTCGCAGACTAAGAGAAAATATTTACAGATCATATATCTGACAAGAGATCTATATCAGAAAAAAGCACTTTTAAAATTCAAGAAAAGACAACTTAAATTAAAAATCAGCAAAGGATTTAAACAGACATTTCTCCAGATTTATTTATATATATATTAGACTTTACAAAGTAAACAACTGCAATGCCTGAAGTGATATGTGCATGTGTGTATAGATCTTGTACTACAGTACAATATTTTCAAGGTTGATTTCTGTTGTAAATATATCAGTACTTCATTCCTTTTTTTAGTACTGAATAATATTTCATCTTGTGACTATATTACACTTTGTTTATCCATTTGTCAGTTCATGGACACCAGATTGTTATATATATATGAGAAAGGTCAATAAGCACATGAAATAATGATAAATATCATTATTCATTAGTGAAATGCAAATCAAAACCACAATAAGGTACCACAGCACACCCATGATGGTGGCTAAAATAAAAGGCAGACAATTACAAGTGTTAGCAAGCACATTGAGAAAGAGGAACTCATACATTTCTGGTGGGATTGCAAAATAGTGTAGCAACTATGGAAGACAGTTTGGCGGTTTCTCAAAATGTTAAACATATGACTAGGAATTCCACTCCTAAGTATATACCTAATAGAATCAAAACCCTTGTATATGTAAAAATTTATACACAAATGTTTGTGGCAGAATTATTCACAGCAGCCAAAATGTGGAAACAATCTGATGTCCATGACCTGACAAATGGATAAACAAAATGTGATATATCCACAGGATGAAATATTATTCAGCATTAAAAAGGAATGAGGTACTGATATATCTACAATGGGGATGAACCTTGAAAATACTGTACTGGGTAAAAGAAACTAGTTACAAAAAATCACATATTGTATGACTTCATTTATATGAAAAGTTCAGAATAGAAAAGCCATATAAACAGAAAGCAGATTAGGGAGGAATAGGGAGTAATTGCTAATGGGTATCTGGAATTCCTTTTTTCCTGGAATGATGAAATGTTATAAAATTACAGTGGCAATGGCTGTACAATGCTGTGACTATAATAAAAACCACTCAACTGACACCTTAAATTAAGTCACTGTTGTGATATGTGAATTGCATTTCAATAAAACTATTTTAGAATAGCACTTATATATTTCTTAGTAATTCATTCATAGAATATTTTATGAGGATCTACAAGACCCTGTACTAATAATGATTTCAAAAGGAAAAATATGATTGCTCCCCTGAGGGACCTTACAACGTATCAGACTCTACAAAGTAAATTCTGGGAGGCCAACCTTACACATGACTGGGTCACACTCCCTGGCTGGGTGCTGAGGCGCTCAGTCACAGAAATGTGGTCGGTGTCTCGTGTATCTTGCTACAGCCCCACGGGTGAAGCTACCCTCACCTGTTCCTTTGTAATATAATCCCTTGCCCTGTTTAGGATAAAATCTTCCATGGAAATGCCTTGTGTGTGTCCCCTTCTCTTACTGTGCCCTTGGATATGGCCTACCCAGGTGTCAGTCAACCTGCTGAAAGTGGACATCATGAAGATACTCAGCCCCCTGAAACCTGACCCCTTGCCTCATTTGAATAGCTTCTCCTCAATAAAAGGGGTCAGAGCCTGCTCTCGCTCTCTCTCTCTCTTTCTGCAGACCCTTAAGGTCAGAGGAGCCATCACAGCAATCCCAAAGAAAAAGGTATTTGTGTCTCTTGTGTGGTTATTTCGTGCAGCCCAGTTAGCCCAGTTTATCTGGAGCGACCCCTGAGCCTTTTAGTTTCGAGAACTGAAATCCGGCAGTATATATCTGCAATGTTACTGAAGTGATAAGGTTTACACACCTGGCTTACATAAGCATTTTAAAAAAATATTTATTTTTTATTTTATTTATTTATATGTGGTGCTGAGGATCAAACCCAGGGCCTCGCTCATGCTAGGCAGGTACTCTACTGCTGAGCTACAACCCTAACCCCTTACATAAGCATTTTAAAACAGGATCACAAGGTGTTTTTTTTTTTCACATGATATAATATATCCTCTTAACTATAAAGCCAAAATAATGTGTGATCCATACTTTTCTATATACGAGAATAGCCAATTTACAGTTAAAAAAGATCTAGCTCAAGGGGGAAAAAACTTATCTGGGGAATTATTTTGTTTTATCTTCACAAACAATGCTAACACTTTAACTAGTTGATAATCCATTTAATATGATTTCCAAGAAGACTGAGTATATACTTTGCAACTCAAATTTATTCCAACTATATGCAGACCCCATGACATGGACATCAACTTACTAATTTTCTAAATTTCCATTTGGACCTGATCTTCTATTCAATCTACATTTTTTGACCATTTTTTTAATCATATGGATTTTGGACTTGAATGATTCAGTGAATATATGGATGTCTTACCTGTAAATTGATCATTTTTCTGCAGCTTTTAGATAGAGGAGACCTATGAAAGTAGAAATGAGAATAGGAAGACATTAGACACAAAGACTGTAATATAGAATCCTCCTTTACCAGATAATAAGTACCTACACTGAAGCCTCAGAAAATGCCACCTATTCAGAAAATGACATTTCTAACAAGTCAACATTTCATAAGCATGGTATCCTACTTGTGATTCTATTATGAATATATGGGGCTTAGATAAGGATGTTGTACATCTTTATCCTGATGGTCTAACACCAACGTGTGAAACTTCCAATCAAGTGTCTTTTTTTGTTTGCTCCCAGAAACTTATCCCAAGGAAATATAAGTTAAAAAACCAAACAAAGGCCTTGGTTTCTGAAGCTCAGTAGGTCTAGAAATGATTCCTTCCTGTGATTCTCTGATCTCTGCTTTGAAGCTGGGATAAAATAATCTCGGGCTGGGATATAGCTCAGTCCAGTTGGGGATATAGCTCACCTGGTAGAGTGTTTGCCTTGCATACTCAAGGCCCTGGCTTCAATCGCCATCCCCAGCACCCTATATACACACACACACAAAAAAAAAAACAAAAACAAAAAAAAAACTCAAATTAGGTTTTCATTCCTTTTTTTTTTTTTTTTTTAAGAGTTGGGGAGTTGTCTATGTTGCCCAGGTTAGTCTCAAATTCCTGGGCTCAAGCTCAGCCTCCCAAATAGCTGGAACAACTAGGTTGGGAAAGGTTGAGCTTTCTTGAGAAGGTTTTCTGTCTGCCCACCTATCTATTTTAAAGCTGGTGATTCAGTTTAGAGTTCAAAGCTGTTTCCCTGTGTATGTGCGTTATCTATGGGCAAGGGGAACTCAACTTCATTTACACTGTTTTCATGGGAAGATTTGCAGATACAAGAGACCCAAAAAGATGACCATAAAGTGAAATTCATTCAATATTCATTACTCAAGTATTTCAAAAATAGAATACACTCAATTCTTTGGGTAATGCAGGAGAGCTATGTTGTTAAACAAAAAATGAAATCTGAAGAAAACTTATCCAGGTTTGAATCTCGCTCTTCTACTTGCTAAGCTGTGCGAATAAAGGCAAGGAATTTCACCTCTTTCGTCTTAGGTTACTTCATATGCATACTAGTGACAGCACTTATTCCAGATGACAGCAGTGAGAATATCCTAAGAAAGCATAGCAGTTTCTCTAGAAATTCTTCCTTCTTGGATCTCTTAAGGTGGCTTAAAATTTCCTGTTGGGCTGGGAATGTGGCTCAAGCGGTAGCGCGCTCGCCTGGCATGCGTGCGGCCCGGGTTCGATCCTTAGCACCACATACAAACAAAGATGTTGTGTCCGCTGAAAACTAAAAAATACATATTAAAAAATTCTCTCTCTCCTCTCTCTCTCTCTCTCAAAAAAAAAAAAAAAAAAAAATTCCTGTCGCTGGCTCTGGTGCACTGAGATGCATAGCCTCCTTTACTACCACCTTATCAATAAGGGCAGGAATGCAAAGAGAGCCTGTCCCAGCCACAACGCGGGTTCTAAGAACTTACCCATGGCCAGTCGGATCCCTATAACAGTGTAAATGAAGTTGAGTTCCCCTTGCCCATAGATAACGCACGTACTCCAGAGTTGGACAGGACGCACACATGCACCCAAACACCAAGTCAAACATCTTCGATACGGTAAACCCACAAGCTGGCTCTCGCCATTCTACCCGTGTGTCCCCCAGAGTCGGGCATAGCCTTACCTGCCACCTTTTCGTTGCCTGTCTCCCATTTCCGTCACTACTACCAGAATGGGGCTACAGCATCCTCCCGCAGAAACGAGGGAGGAAACCCACGCCGCACTGAGTGCTGCACAGGTCTGAAGAGGCGAACACCGGGTCCAGCCCCGCCCCGCGTGTGCGGAAGTGTGCATCGCTCAGAGACCACATTGCCCACAAGGCCTCAGGGCGCCTTTCCGGAGAAACGTGGGAGGCTTCTTCCGCCTTGGAGGAAAATCAGGGGGTTGGTGTCTCTGGGGCTGGCCTGGAAAGCCACGCTCATATTTAAAAGTGTAGATATTATCTTCATTATAAAAAAAAGAAAACAGGCATCAGAAATTTCATATCCTGCAAGGTCGAAATCTGCAGTGTCCTTAAAGAATAATTTCCTTTTGGTGTGGTTTCTTCTAGTGCTGCTCTAGTTTGGGTCATGGAGATGAAGACGATATCACAAAGAAGCCAGGGAATAATACGTGAGATAGATGGGAAAGTAGGAGAGTTTGGATCTGCAAAACCAAGACAAGAAAATATTTCAAGAAAGAGGGAACAGTCCACTGTGATCGATGCTGCTGATAGGTCAAGTAAGATGGAAACTAATGAAGCCAGATTTAAAATTAGGTAGTCAGTGTAGTTAGGTAAATCGGGTCTAATATCGAGTGAAATCTAAAATGGAGGCGGTGCAGAGAATGACTCAGGGAAAACACAGGACAACTCATGGAATGTTAATGAAGTCCCAAAAGGCCCTAGGCCAAAGTCCACCTCAAAGAAATGTTAATGAACAGCCCCCAGCAAAAAGGTGCTGACTCAGAAGTCCTTCCTGATCAGATTACTTCTTTGGCCCACCTGTGTCCCACCCCTCGGTCCTTCCCACCTACATTCCATCACTGAAAGAACTATAAAAAGGGGAGACAACATCCCTTCCACGGATTCCACCTCTTGGGTCCCCTTCTTCCTCCGGGAGAAGTCTTTTCTGCTGTCCTTTAATAAACTTCTAATTTCTACTCTGACTTTGCCTCCGCGTGCTCTCTGGTGTTATTCTTCAACATCGCGGAAGCAAGGACTCGTCACCGGTCAACAGCGGTAACACTAATAATTGACCACCGAACAATGTTCGGGTCACTAGTGATGTTGAAACATTCTATTTGGGCAGAGTGGTGGAAATTTAATAAACTCTGATGAAAGTTTGATCAAAGTGGAAGGAAAAAACGGAAGGAAAGAACATAGAGAAAGCAAATACAGCTGGGCTGTGTGGCGCACGCCTGCAATCCCAGCAAATGGGAAGGCTGAGGCAAGAGGATCGCGGGTTCAAAGCCAGCCTCAGCAATTTAGCAAGGCCCTCAGTTCAATCCCTGAACAAACAAACAAGCAAATACACTAGAGACAATATTTAAAGTTTTGCCTGGCACTATTAAGATCCTATGTAATTCAGTAGCCAATCAACTTTACCGGCATTTTCAATGTTATGAGCACATTTTTATATTTCATCTTCTTTTAGTCTTTCTTGACCTATACCCCTCTTGAGCAATAGCTTCATTTTCCACTTTTGAATAGCTGATGCCTGTATTTTCTCACGCCCAGTTCTCTCCTCTAATTGGCTTCTTGACCCCGTCTACTCCCCTGAAACTGCTCTTGTTGAGTTACCAATGAAATTCTATTTGACAAATTAAGTAGATTCTCTCTCTGACCCTGACATTCAACAAAATTGAAATACTTCCTCTTAAGGTTTCTAGAGCATGTCATACAGTGTCATACAGCTAGTTTCACCCATCTCACCGAAAATGCTTCTGTATTTCCTTTTTTGAATACTCTGCCTGTTCCAACTGCAAATGTTGAAATACTCAAGGGTTTGGCCTTGAGCCTTTTTTTTTTTTTTTTTTTTGCTGGGTAGGGGGATACCAAGGATTGAATTCAGGGGCTCTCAACGACTGAGCCACATCCCCAGCTCTATTTTGTATTTTATTTAAAGATGGGATCTTACTGAGTTACTTAGCACCTTGATGTTGCTGAAGCTGGCTTTGAAATCCTTATTCTCCTGCCTCAGGCTCCTAAGCCGCTGGGATTACAGGCGTGGGCCACTGTGCCCAGCAAGCCTTTTCTTTTTGAAGTTGTTCTTTCTCTTTCTCTAAATGATTTCATCAGGGCATATGGTTTTAAATATCATTTATATGATAATGACAAATCTCCTTTATCTCTCCTCTCAATTCAGACTCTACTTCCTTATATCTGATCTGAAATCTCTTCTTGTATATCTAAAATTCATCTTCAACTTGACATGTCCAAAACAAACTCATAATTCCTGCACTTCTCCTAGTTTAATCACCACACCATCATCATACACCTGGTTACACAAGCAGAAACTTAGGAACCATTCTTGATTTCTCCTTTATTTTCCCCTCTCTCATAGTACATGTGACATGTTTTATGAGAGTAAACATTTTTATCTTGTTCATAACTATATTTTGACAACCTGCTATATAAGTACTCAGTAAATATTTGTGAATACAGAATAAAGGTGAATGTGTCTATAGTTTTATCTCCATAAATATATCATGGAGTTTTCTATATCCAAGGTCTTGAATGTATATATCAATTTGAAGAGAACTGACATTTTAATAATATTTAATGTTTCAATTCAGGAGCATAGTAGATCTTTCCACTTATTTAGGTTTTTTAATTTATCTCATGAATGTTTTATAGATTCAGTGAAATTCTGTCAGATTTATCCCTAAATATTTCATATTTTATGCTATTATAAATTGTATAAGAGATTTGTATTTGTTGCTAGTATATACAGATACAATTTATATTTGAATATTGGCCTAGTAGCATTTTAAGTGTTTCCACAGTTTGTACACAGATGATTATGTCATCTTCAGATAAAATTACTTCTTCCTTTGCAGTCTGGATGCCTTTACTTGATCCTCCACTACAGCAATGAACAGAAATAATAAGAGAACACTTTTGCTTTCTTTATTAGATACAGGACTGTTTGGGATATAAACTTCTTGAGAATATTGGTGGTTTGCATTTTTCAAGGAATTTGCCTACTTCACACAAACTCTCAAATTTATTGGCATAAAGTTGAGGTTGTATATCCTTTATATTTCTATGGAATTGGTAGTAATGTCCCTAATTTCTGATTTAAGTAATTTGTGTCTTTTTTTTTCCTTAGTCCACCTACCTAAAAGTTAGTCAAAGAACCAACTGAGTTTCATTCATTCCCAGCTTTTTGGTATTTTTATTATGAACGAATGTTGAATTTTGTCAGATACTTTCTCTGAATCATCTGAAACTATCAGGTGGGTTTCCCCTTCATTTGTTAATATAACATATTATATTGACTGATTTTCAAATGTTGAACCATTCTTGCATTCCAGAAATAAATACCACTTGGTCATCATTATATTTCTAAAATGTGCTGCTGAATTTGGTCAGTTACTTTGAGGATTTTTGCATCAATGTTCACAAGTGATTTTGGCCTCTAGTTTTCTTTCTTGTAGTCTTTATCTGTCTTTGATGCTAGGATAATGCTGGACTCATACAATAAGCTACAAGGAGCTTCCTAATCATCAAATTATTAGAACAGATTGAGAATGATTGGCATTAGCTCTTCTGTAAATGTTCAGTACAATTGTGCAGTGAAGTCATCAGGCTCAGGTTTTTTTTCTCAGAGATTTTTAATTTTCTGATTCAGTCTCATTACTAGTTATATTCAAGGACAGTTCCCTGGGTAATGTTGGAGTGACACTGTTCTCCTTGATTCTTGCTTGAAGTTATCAAGAAAGAGGTGGAAATGCAATATGCTGAGAGAAGGAGAAGCTGGCTGGAACAGCCCAACTCTATTCCTGTCTCCAACCCCCAGATATAGGATGGCCTTTAACACTAGTTGTATCATGTACTGCTTTCCAGAGTCCCTCAGCTGCAATGGAAGTGGATTACACACAGACAAGCCACCATCACTCTGGGAAGCTGACCTGCACTTTAAGGCTGAATTGCCCAAAAGTCTAGGATTTTGTTGTTCCTTTGTGGCCTATCTGTATAAGTAATAAATACATTTTATGTACAACTTGCCTTATGTGTGAGTGTTCTGTCGCGTACATGCAAATAGCCAGTGCACAATAAAGCTGGTTCATATGTAGATCTATTCAGATTTTCTATTCCTCCATGATTTAGTCTTGGTAGGTCTGTGTTCTTAGCAACTTGTCCATTTCATCTGGGTTTATCCAATTTTTGGCATAAACTTGTTCATATCACTCACAATCCTTCATATTTCTGTGGAATTGGTAGTCTTGTCTCCAATTTCTGATTTAAGTAATTTGAGTCTTCTCTTTTTCCCTTAGTCCACTTAGCTAGAAGTTGGTCAAAGAACCATCTCAGAGCGTCATTGACTTTGTTGTGTTTCTATTCATTATTTTGCTTATCCTTTCTCTAATTTTTGTTTCTTTCCTTCTGCAAGCTTTTTTTCCAGTTTCTAAGGTTTTAAAGTTAGGTTGTTGATTTGAGATCTTTCTTGGGGGTTTTCTGTGTGTTTTGTTTTTGATATCAGTGATTAAACCTAGGGGTGCTTTACCAGTGAACATCCCCAGCCATATATATTATATATTTTTTTGAGGAGAGAGAGAGAATTTTTTAATATTTATTGTTTAGTTTTCGGTGGACACAACATCTTTATTTTATTTTTATGTGTTGTTGAGGATCGAACCCAGTGCCCCACGCACGCCAGGCTAGCGCGTTACAGCTTAAGCCACATCCCCAGCCCCCTTTCTATTTTTTGAGACAGGTTCTAAATTCCTCAGAGCCTTGCAAAGTTGCTGATGCTGCCTTTGAACTTGCAATGCTCCTGCCTCAGCCTCCTGAGTTGCTGGGATTACAAGAGTATACCATTGTGCCTAGCTCTTGTTTTTTAATGTAAGAGTTTATAGCTATAGTTTTCCATTACGTTGCTTTCACTATCTTCTGTAAGTTTTGCAATATTATGTTTTGTTCATCCATCTATAAATATTTCCTAATGTGAGATTTTTTTCTTTGATCCATAAATTCATGAATTTTTCCAGTTTATTTTGCTTCTAATTTCTAATTGCTTCCAGTTGTAGTTGGAGAAAATACTCTGTATGGACATATAACAATTTGTGACCTAACATGGTCTATCCTGGAA